AGAGCCTGGAAGTAGTTTCCATAGCAACAAATGTAGTTGTGGAATTGCCATACTCCAAGTGTTCAAATTAACACTGATGGAAATGGTGATCTTAACCTTGAACCTCACATTTATTTCAAGGATTATCCAAAAATAAACCACAATCTTATTGAACCACTATGTTACACACATTGAGTAAAATTACCGTTCACTCTTTGTATTGGTTTAAAGCTGCCAATTCTCTTTGTAGATAAATCCCTTTAAGGTGCATGATTCCTTTTTTATATGTAGCACTATTCCTGCCCTCAGGTTGTCACTGAAGAAATCTAGTCACTGTTTTAATGGAGGTTACACAGCTGTCAATTTGCACACAGTTAGCTTCCACAAACAGCCAAATGATCATGAGCAGATAAGTTTTTTTTAATGAAATTGGTTAAGAGAAAATGATTGATCAGGATCATTAGAGAAAACTATCCTGCTGCTCAAAATAGTGGCCAGGGAATTTATATAAGGTAATCCTATAGCTTGTGCTTAAGTGAAACCTGAACCCACAGTTTTCTGACTGAGGCCAGAGTATCACTATCTAACCATCACTAACTGAATCATGGTTGTGACAGTGGTTGCAACAATTATGCAAATAAACTGGACTGGGATAGTAGTAAAATATGTCACAAGAAATATATGTCCCAAAGGGATATGAAGATAATGTGCACCTTAGCCTTTCCCTCAAACTTTGACTAAAATCTTGGACTATATTTTCTGGGGAGTGATCATCTCGTGCAGATTGCCACTCTGGTGCTTTTTCACTAAAAGAAGGAATGGTTCATTTCTGAGAGGAGATTCTGCTCAAGGTTCCCTCTGAAATGTGGAGTCATACGTCCATTCTGACAATTCCTTCACAGCAGAGAACTGTCAGAGGAAGGCAAACCATGTCCCCTTTTCACAGCAATCAGCTGTTGTGCTCTGAAATTGAAAGGTTCTGTCAGCCACTTTAATGGCTGCTGTAAAGGGATTAAGTACGTAAGGTAAGTGTGATGTTGGGGTGCTGGGAGGGGAGTATGCCAGATGGGTAGGATGCTCAGTAAGTAGGGTACCAACTGTGTACAATGCCGGCTGGGTAGGATGCTGTGGGGAAAGGAATAGCATGGAGAATGCAAGGTGGCAAAGGAAGCAGGTAAATGAAACAGTCGGTTGTTTGGAAGAAATCTGATCCATTGGGGGAGGGATGGGGTGGGGATGTAGGTGTCTGGAAGGGTCAGGTTCATGGTGGGTGGTGAGGGAGTGTGTTTTGCCTCAGTCCTGGTGAGAACAGGCGCATAGGAAGGTGGGTCAGTGACAGGAGTGTTGAGTTTGGGTCAACAGGGCAGTGTGTAAGGGTGGTTTATTTGAGTTGGGTCTGGTAGGGACAGAGGGGCTTTGGGTGTCAGATCAGGTTTGGTTCAGTGGAGGACAGGGGAAAGACTAGTTGGGTCACTTCAGGATCTGCTGGGATGGTGTTTGGGGGGGTCCAGAGGGGGGAACAGTGACAGGGTCATGTTGGGTCTGGTGGGGAGAGAGCCATCAGGAGTTAGATTAGGTCATGTCTAGCAGGGGGAGTGAGAATGTGTTGGGTCAGTTGGCTGGAGGGTCAAGTCCAACTGCGGAGGTGGGTGGTTGGGTTGGATCTGGTAGGAGTGAACGAAGAGAAGGGGAACAGGTGTCGGGGGTCTTGGTCAGGTTCTGAAGGTATGTAAGGGATCTCGGAGAGGTGCGGTTGGTGCCATGTGAGGTAAATCTGTGCTCTGTTTAATATTTATGCAGAAGTTATGTTATGTATTTAACTTTTCCTCAGTAACTATTTTATTTAATTTCATCAAAACCGTCTAAAGTCTCCAATGTAAACTGACACATTCAGAGGGATCGTAACTTAAAGGAATTACCCCGTGGACAGTTCAGTTTCCTGGGCAATTCCTTCAGAGAGTGCTGTGATAGAAATTCCACAGGGTTCCCATGTGTAACTTCTATCTACAATGACAACCACTGTCCGACCACTAGAAAATCTGCCCCATTGTGAGTCTGCATGGAAGGCCTGCTTTAGGAATTGGATAATGTAATAAAATTTGACTAATTTTCGCTCAACCTTAAAAATGGCATGGAACTAATTGGTCTCCAACCTGCTTCGCTTCAAGGTGTTTCCCCTCAATCATCGATTGTGAAGATAACAAAGTTCTGACAAATTCCTGTTGCTATTTCATTCATCTGATCTTCCCACACACTACCCCATAAAGATGGAATGATATTTTTTCAATGTCACAAAGTGGGATGGTTTGAACTAAATGAAATACAGGAAGTAGGTTGTTAGTTAGATTAAAATGTCAGGATCTCATTTGAAAAAAATATAAATGGTATGAATTCATATTTTATCCAAGATGACAATTACGTTTAAAGTGCATAAGTGAATCAATAAGAAAAGAAATAACCCTGCGCCTTTGTAATTTCTGATTTAAATTGGAAGGGTAATAAATTGATGTCAGATATTTTATTGAAATAATTAAATAGGCTCGATAGCTGAGTCAGGGATCCAGAATTGTTAGGTACTTCAGTGGTGTTTTGCAGCTTTGTTGCAACTTGGTTTGGCAATTATTACTTGCAAGTATTAGTACTTGGTTCAAAGCAACACAAAGCACTGGATAGTCGTAAGCAATTCTGAGTTTCTTCCTTTTAATAAATACATAGTACTCGGTCTATAGAAATCTACTTGAAATTTAGTACCTGAAATTTTCCTTTTGTACTAAATGTAAGTACCTGAACATGATAAAACTCCCCTGTTTATTAAAGATTCACAATGGATAACTATAAAATACTGAAATTCAAACACAGGTTTTCAGAATTTGAACAACTAGAAAACAGAGAATATTTTCAATTTTATTTAGTTTTCAATCACTGCAGACAAATGAATAAATGAAATAACCTTTAAATAACCCATTCTTTTAGGTAGTGCCTTAATCTTTTATTCATTACTATGGAAAAGCATAACTGAACCCAAATAATTACACACAGTTAATAAAAAGATGAGTGAGCTAAAATTACTATTATGAGGAATTATAAGCCATTATTGTTAAAGTATCAGCCCTAAATGAAGTTAGCAGGTACTGTCTATGGCATGACAGAAAGGACAATGACCTTTGTGCTATTTCTGATTTTGAGCTATATTCACCGCAGACAATATTCAAATTAGAAATGCAAAACATTTTGGAAAACGCAATGGCATGATTGGTACATAAAAAGACAATACTTGCAGAATCTGTCACCAATCTCTGTATGGGATTTTTAATGGTTAACATCCAAACCATGTACTCAGAGTGTTGATGAAATGTGAGGTTCAAGATGCTGATTTGACTTCCAATGAGTTTTTCGACCATTGTGGACACTAGTACTGTGATCTATTCCAGAAGGTCAGCTGGCGAATAATAGATCTGGAGTCAATCATTGCATACCACGGTATTTGTTTAGAACATATTATATGCACATACCTCTTAACTCATCTTTGGGTCAGAAGGTTTGGGTTCAAGTCCCAGCTGCCCCAGATCTGTGCATTACATGTCCAAACAAATTGATTAAAAATAATTTATACGGGTCTTGTGGAGCAGTAGTAGTGTCCCTGTCTCAGGGCCACAAGGTCTGGGATAAAGTCCCGACCACACAAATTAATCAAACAAGGTGATAACAAATTTTAACCTAACAAAGATAGTTTTAGCTTGTGTGTATTCATTAGATATTTCTGTCAACCTGTTAAGAGATGTTATGACATAACCCTGGAGCAGGTGGGACTTGAACCCAGGCCTCCTGATCCAGAGAAAAGGGCATTACCCCTGCACTACAAGAGCCCCTCTGTGTGTCCTCATTCTTACTTTCTAAGCAAGCTATTCAGAGATGCTATCACACACCTTTGGAAGGGAATAAGTCTTGAACCTTACCTCCCCATGCAGAGTCAGGGACATTGTTCCTTGTGTGTATTCACTTTTTTAAATGCAATTAACAATGGTTCTATGGTCATCATGAGGTGAGCTGCTCCTTATTTCAGTTTTTATTCAAATTTCACACTGATCATGGTGGGATTTGAACCTGTACCCTCAGAACATTAACCTAGGGTTCTGGGTTACTAATCTAGTGACATTAACACAATGCCTCTAGCCATTCCTATGTGCGGTCATTTTTGTTTTCTCTATTTTGGGTAGGGACACTACCACTGTGCCACAAGAGGACCCAACAGTAATGTTTTTTTTTCTATATTTCCCCCAATATCTTGTGATTATCTTTTTTTGTTATAGTGATATTGAAAAATGAAGACATGTTGCGAATATATGTGTATCTTTTTTACCAATAGGAAAACACCCACATGGCCAGTTGAATATTTATAAACAATACCTGTTAAGTGCAATGCTAGCAACAACAAGTGAGGAGTAGAGTGAGGGGCCTATATGTATTCATTTTCTCCTCCTATATCACTCATGGTTATGAAGTTTTTGAGACAAAGAAAGACACCATTGTAAATAGACTTTTTTATGTGTGTTTTTACCACCACCAGGAAAACACCCATAAGGCCAATTGTGTATTAAATAGCAAACCCTATTAAGGGCAATGCTAGCAAAAAAAAAGTGAGGGGTGGGTTGGGGGCAGGGGGTGAGGGAGAGAGGGAGTGGCCTGTGTGCATTTATTAGGACTCAAATTAATGGCCACTAGCTGTATACAATTTAACACAATTAATCAACAATTAATAACTATCAGTTAATATTGAAAGTGAACAGACATGTGTTGCATCTGTTGTTGTAAAAACAAGATGGGGAGGGGGGCCTCTTGTGGTGTAGTGGTAGTGTCTGTATCACTAGACCAGGAAGCAAAAATTAAAGTCTCTCTTTAACATTTCTGAAGGAGTTGATTAGAAAATGACTAAAAACACTGTATGGTTAAGAGCTGCTGTGTTTTAGTATTCTTTGCCTGGCATCCAAAATGATGTGCTTCTTTTACTCTCCGTCCTGTAGCTTGGGCTATGGTTGATGGTGCTTCAAACATTCATCCACGGAAAACATACAATGAGAAGACACCTACAGTAATTGTCTCCAGATCCCATGCAGGAGCAGTGCTGTCTTACAGCAAAGGAGCTTTTGGAAGTAACACGACAGTTATCCCTGCTGGTGGAGCAGGTGAGTAATCTCATTTAGTAAGTCTAGGTTGATAAATTTTTCTTTCCTCCCCTTCATAGATCAATTCAGTGATATTATTGACAATGTTAATATCACTCGTAGATGAAGACAAAAATTGACTCTCTTTTTAAAAACAAAATTAATCCAAGCATCAAACCAAGCAATTTGATATATTGCATTGTAGTTGGATTTCCAAAATCCGCCCACATATTGTTAATGTATGACATCTATCACTGTGATCCTAGGCCAGTTTACCACCAGGCCTAGTGGGAGCTCTTCATCCGAAATAAAGCCGACTGCACAGGAGCTGAAAAGCAACCATATAGCAAAGCGAATGGTCAGGAACATCCCAAAGACTGCAATACCAGTTTAACTGAAAACTTTGTGTTTGATGGATGCACTCAGGAGCTATGTGGTCCCAATAAAGAAGGGAGACGGGCACTCATTAATAGGCTACGTTCCTCCATCATCCGAGGCACTACTTGCTATCCTTCCCATGGTTCCTAAGGAAGATGGAGGTAGCAGTGGGTGATAAGGGATATAGACAGAGCCTGCTTCATCACTGGCATTTACATATGTTGAGTGGCAAGAGGAAGCTGGTGATGGCTAGGGAGAAAATGATCTTCAGATAGAGATGTTAGCACTTGATTTTCTATCACTATTGTTTTAATTTTGGTTTGTGTTTTGTAAAAGAAAATCCAGCTGTTCACCGGTAATATCCAGGCTCGGAAGCCTGTCAATGCAGCATTGAAACCTGACATTGTGTTTGTGAAATGCTGAACAGTGGTGTCGCTGCATCTAATCAGTGCTCATAATATCATAACCATACAATATATGGTAAGTATATAATCATATCCTGTTCTAACCACATGGGGGCATATTTGCCTCTTCTAATAAGGAGTAGACTAAATATCTTTTAGGTGCATCCTTTCCAACCTGCAAATGACATGGTGTCAAAGAGCATTTTAAGAATGTATTACTTCATTTGTCAAATTGACAGGGGAAGTGAGGTGCTAAGTCGAGCAGAAGACATCTGTAACAGTAATCTTTTAACACTTCCTGAGCATGTGCTTATCTACCGAATTGCTGCAAACAATAAAGAATTAGCAGTCTGGTTGTTGAATTCAGTTTTTTTTTGTGAAGTGGTTAAATGATGACTTTTTTAAAAAGAAGAGTTTTGATTAGTGTTTTTTGAAAGTAATGAGAACAACATTACAATGTGATTTAGACAAGCTGAGTGAGTGGACAGATGCATAGCAGATACAGTATAAAGTGCATAAATGTGAGATTACCCACTTTGGTAGCAAAAACTGGGAAAGCAGATTACCATTCAAATGGTAGTAAATTGAGAGAGGGCAATAATTCATGAGATCTGGGTGTTGTCATGAACCAGTCGCTGAAAGTAAGTGTGCAGATGCCTTGGTGAGGCCACATCTGGAATATATGTGTGCAGTTTTACTCTCCTCTGAGGAAGGATGTTTTTGCTTTAAAGGGAGTGCACTGATGGTTTACCAAATTGACTGGCAAGACTGACTTATGAGGAGAGATTGAGACAGTTAGGATTGTATTCACTGGAGGTTAGAACAATGAGGGGGAGATCTCACAGAAACCTATAAAATTCTAACAGGACAAGATGGTTAGATACAGGAAGGATGGCCCCGATGATCGGGAATCCAGAACCAGGGGTCGTACTTTGAGGACTGACATGTGGAGAAAGGTCTTCACCCAGAGAGTGTTGAGTCTGTGGAATTTACGACCACAGAAAGTGGTTGAAGCCAAAACTTTGTGTTTTCAAGAAGGAAGTAGACATTGCTCTTGTACCTAAAGGAAGTCAAGGCATACGGGGGGAGGGCAGAATTAGGGTATTGAGTTCGATGATCAGCCGTTATCTTATGGAATGGCAGAGCAGGCTGGAAGAGTTGAATGGCTTCCTCTTGCTCCTACCTTCATTTTTTTTATATAACTCAAGAAGAATTTCCATGGGTCATTTCACCCATGAAAACATGTTGATTAATGGTGGAACATTGTAGCATGTGGCGAAGACAAGTGTCTATCCAATTTGCTCTGCTCTTATGCTTAAAGATACCAGTGGGAGATCTGAAGCAGGCACCTAAAAAATTCATGCTGGTATCAAGCAAACCTCTGTATTAGCCCTTATATTATTTACAACCTACCTGATAATTGTTAGTCACGTGATCAAAAATCAACTGCTCTCTGGTGTAAGCATTAGATGCTGCCTAGGTGGAAAATTATATAGCCTTGCATCCATTCCAAAAGTAAACTGAGGACCACGGACAAACATAATCTACAGTATGCAGATGTGTGATTACACAATCTGCAGCAGATTTGCAAGGCACTTCTGATGTCTTCAATTCTGCAAACAAGGGACTCAGCTTGTCTTTGCATGTCATTGTTACCAGAGCTTATAGGCCAGGCCACAGTTACTCATTGAAATATTACGCCTCCCATAAATGATGAAGGAAAGACTCTAGCATGTGTAGAAGACTTCCCACTATTGATCAGGAGATCCAAACCAGGTCAGCTATGTCTGTTCATTCCTTTGCAAATCATAAACGGTAAGCATTTGACAACAAAAATCTTAGAAAATCAATCAAAGTCTTGCTGTAGAACAGCTATGATCTCTTACCCCTGTACCTTAGTGAGCCCTGGACTGAGTTTTAGCAACACGAGTACTAGGGCAATTCCACAAGCAACGTCTCTGCTGCATTCTGCAAATTTAATGCCAGGACTATCGAACAAGAGTCCTTTTTGAAGCCAGTTCCAAAAGCCCTGAGGCAAAAGTCCGGAAGGATTAATTACAATGGGCAGGATACTGTGTCCAGATGGCAAAAAAATAGTCTCACCAATTCTCAAATGGCCGGTGTTTCATGGGAGGGCAAAGAAAATGCTACAGATGCTCTGATGACCTCCTTGACTTTATAGGCTGGGAGGAGCTTGCTACCAATTGTTCAAAATGGCAACAACTTGCCCATTAATCTGCATTGTAATTTGAGTCCAAATGCCTTAATGATGAAATAGAGCAGAGGCAGAGAAGGAAAGGAAAGGAAGTTATTCCCACATTCTGGATCCCACGACCTTATGGAATATCCTGCCCCAGATTCCAAAGATCTGTGGTTCAAGAATCAGCCTGTTCAGTCACACAAAGACCCACAGCAGAAGCAGAAACTTTAAGCCCTGAGTAGATGTCATCCTCAAATCGAAGGACCACCAAAACCAACAAAGACGAGTAGTAATGCAAATAAGCAACCAATGAAGATAATGGCATTGAAGGAGAATGACAGAGATGAACCCGTTTTCATGAAACAAAAGGAAGTGGTAAACATTTGGTGGTACATAACTTGAGTATTGCTGAAAGAAGACACGTTTTGTTGAAGCATTATGTCTTACACACATCAGGATGTTTCACAAAAATCCAAATTCAAGGGGAAGACCACAATTTATACTGCATGAGAGGAAAGTGCTGATTGGTTGATTGGTACTAACAGGATGTTGCTGTCAAGCCAAAATCTCATTCTGCCTATCTCACAGATGAGTAATACAGTATAAGAATTCCAGTACCAGTGTGGTGTCAGGTATGTGGGCCATATTCCTAAAGACTGGCAGGTTGTGTCAAACGGCATATTCCTTCAGCTATTTGCAACAAGTAAGGTACTGACTGTATCCAACCAGCCCACACTTCCAGGACTTGTAACACAGTGTCTAACATTACATGAAATTCTGCAATTGGACAACATTTGCTGGATAATTCTGAATGTGCAAAGAAATACGTAGACAGCCAATTTAGAATAGTCATGTGGGCTGTTAGTGTGCCACATTTACCTGTACTAGAAGCTGCGTGTATTCATACACCGGGTTAGTTGCAGACAAAAATAATATGTACAGTCAGTATGCCTGTTTCTATTCAACAAAACAGGTGACAGCCATTCACTGGTTCATTTCACAGGGCAGTTCTCTGACCAACCAGAGACAGACTGCCTGGTTTGGACTGTAAACAAAGACTGGCTTTTAACTGTCAATCAGTATTAATGGGTACACTCTCTATGCCAATACTCTAGCAAACAATGTCCAATTGCCAGGCAGTCAATACTCTTCTCTCATGTCATGTAGATGCTGGTTTTCCCCTTGAAGTTATATTCTTGAGAAATGTCTTGATGTGCCCTTTGACAACGCTCTTTGACTTTGGCTTTTTGTTTTAGCAACACTCAAAATTAGTTGCCTACGTGTAAAGCATCTATGTAAGGAACCTATGCAATAAATAGGCATATAAAACAAACATCTCCATGGGCTGGATTTATAATATTTAATATCTCCCTGCCAGTATGTTTTCAGGCAGAGGGGCATGTAAAATGCAGTGTGTAGCCTGCCTGCTGCCTTCCTATTCAATATCAACCTGTCTCCCTTTTTACAGAAGGTGGTGGAAATGTCAGACTAATTAACAACCACCTAAGTACCTCATCCTACGGCCATTGTTATTTTACCCGCTGCAGGGAGTGACCCATACCAAGCAGGTAGCCTGGCAGCTTTCATGCACAGCATAATATTGGGCAAAAGGGACCCTCCTTTGGAGGTCCCTGTGCCTATTGGGCACACACACTTGCCTTTAGTACTGCCCACCCCATGTGTCCAGCTTCTTCAATGTCCTCATGCCCTTCTGCCAATCAAGATCTACTGACACCCCGGGCTGGTACCTGAGGACGGACCTCTGTAGACTCCTCTTCCTTGGGAACAGCCTCTAGTCCCAGCAATGGCCACTACCTGAACCTGGCACTGCTGTGGCACCATTTGGGTCTTACTCCATAAACAGGAATGCAAGTGGCACAATGATCATGGGCAGGCATCTGGAGATGCAGGCTAATGCTCTGGGGACGTGATTTCAAATCCCACCATGGCAGCTGGTGAAATTTGTAAACAATCAATAGAAAACCTGAACTGAAAGCTAAACTCAGTGATAGTTACTATGATACTATCATTGATTTATTGTAAAACCCATCTGATTCACTAATGTCTTTGCCATCCTTATCTGGCCAGAATTACATGTGACTCCAGGCTCACATCAGCAAGGTTGACCCTTATGCCCCCTCTGAAATGGCCTAGAAAGCCACTGTGTTCAAGGGTAGGTAGAGATGGACACCAGATTCTCACCTTGCTAGCAATACCTACATCCTATGAAAGTATAAAGAAAAAGAAATGCCTTGACCTGAGGCAATTAACGCCTCCTTTGAGTATGAGTGGCTGCCTGTTGGGTCCTTGTAAAATCCAACTGCATGATGTAAAATCTGTTCAATGGAATGAAATGGACACCATTTTTAATAACCCACTTATCACCTGAAAATATCAATGAGCAGAATGGTTCACTTGCTACTGAGTATATCAGCAGCAAACAGGAGAGAATCAGCCTCTGATTGGAAGAACAATGAGAAAGTGAGTGCTGGCAGTGAGGGACCACCACAGAGTGGATGAAGCCTGAGGGAAGGGCAGGGTGGATGAAGGCTGACGGAAGGGTAGGTTGGGGAATGTTTGGGAAAGATGTAGCCTTCAAAGTGGAGAGAACCATTTAAGACCCATCAAAGGAATAGTCAGCTGTGTAAGTAACTAAAAAACTTAAAGTAACTGTGATAATGAATTTCCTGCAAATGACTGTGGAATCTCTAACTTAAGGGTGCAGAAGAAGCTAGTAGATGGGAAAAGTGTAGTGGTTATTTGTCTAATGAACGCCACGTCATTCATTAAATTTCAGTCTGAGATTGTGATCTAAGATGCAGTAACGGTATGATTAGAATCTTCCAGCTTAGTGTATATGCAATGGAAAAGCATTAGCTATGAGCTCACCCACTTATAGATGATGTGATTAGCATAATGGCTAAATGTATGTGTGTGTGTGCCCTTAAGTTTAATAGAGATATGATTTTTACTGAGGATATTGTTAAATTCTCTTAAATCTGACTGTGCCAGTCCTCGTACTTATATTTGAACACAAATGCAGAAGGTATTGTTACTAAACGACTGCATTGTCTAATAAATCAGTTAGTAAGAATGATGAAGGAACCACTTAAAATAAAAATGTAATCTTTGAAAATATCTCGAGACCTTGAGGGAATAAAAAGTATATTTTGACCCCTGCTTCCCAATGTTACAACCCTGATTCTGATGCTCACCCCAGCGTGTCATACAGTGAATGGTCCAAGTAAAATTACCAGTAATGACCACTCTGCTAAAAGGCTCCAATCCCCAATTTTCTTTTTCTATTTGTTACTTTGAGGAGAAGCAGCACACCACTAGGCTCTGCAAAAATACACATGACCTCCTGCAGGCCTATGCTTGAGAGTCTGCTTAAAGAACCCTGTAGTGTTAAAGTCAAGGGTATGGGTGATTTCCTTGCGATGTGACAGTAGACTTTCCCTGTAGAATGTTTTCAATTCAATGTCATAAGTTAACCATTTCTTCCCTGAGTCTGAGCATCCGCAATCATTGATCCTTCTGGGTAGAATAGAATAAATAGCCTTTATTTTCACTTGCACTTAAGTGAGTGCAGTGAAAAATTTGTAACGTCACTGCTTTGGTGCCATCTTAGATACTGGGTACCTAGGTACAGATACTTTTAAGTGTTTGTTACAGAATTGAAAGAGTAAAAAAAAAGTTTAGCGTAGGAATACAACGTTTTTAAAATGTACTCGACTTACTCAAAGTCCAGAATAAGAACAAAAGTATCTTTAAAAAGTACTTAAATTATAGTCCGTTTTCACTGAGTCCGTGCCTGCCAGGCTTCAGAACATGAGGCCTCCCACAATGGCCTCCAGCCCAGTCTTGCTTCCAGGACCCACTTCCAGGACTCGTCTCCCAGGCCAGCCTGGGCTCAGACTGCCTCCCACCCCGGGCTCCGGCCTGCAAATTGCCTCCTGTGCAGTATGGTCTGTGACTCGTCTCCCAAGCTGGGCTAGACTCGGAGTCACCTCCATCCTCCGTTCCCTGCGGGTAAGTTTAAGAAGTTAAAAGTTTGGGGTGGGAGTTGCAGGGGGCATGGGGAGTGGGGTAGGAGGAAGAACTGCAGAGAAGAGAAGAGAAGGAGAAAAAAAGGAAAAGGAACTGGCGAAGCAGAGGAGCTCTGGCTGGAGCATCCTACTGTGCCGCCATCTTGAGCATGTTCCCAGCAAGTGAATTAGTTTATGTTGCCTGGGTTTGTGGCTCAGTTGTAATTGCATCCTTGATAATTCCAGACCGACTTTTCCCTTGCTGTTGGATTCTATCACTCAATGTTACATCAATGATCTGGGTCAGAATTTGTCTGCAGTACTTACTTGCCTGATCCAGTTCAATGATCATCTGCTGGCTGCATAGTTATTAATAATATGTAGTACTTGGCATAAGCAAATATTCCTTTACTGCTGCTTATTAACAGATCAACTGCCAATGTTTGGTTAAGTTCTTTGCGAATATTTGAAAACTAAGTGAAGTATAATCCACTGGACAATGGAAATTATGATGTATTATTATGATATTAAGTTGCACCAAAATCATAAATAGAACAGCACTTGCAGATGAACAAATGCAACTACATAGAATTTAAAATATTCTCATGACTTTAGACGTTCCAGCATTGCTGTTAATGAAGAGAAGGATCTAGCAGTTCATTCTTTTCCAAGATTCTACCAAAGGGGTTTTGCACAGTTCCCACCAATAAAGTTCAATGTTGGGCTGGCTGACACTCCAATGTGACACAGTCTTTGTGGCAAGTTGCTACATTTGGCCTGTGATTGCTGTGGCCCCTATAGGATTGAGCACTCCTCTGTAATTACGGCCCCACACCTGTTGCTCACTGCCCTAATTCAACACTTATGTCAACCGTGTTTATACTTTCATTTTGCTTTTGATTCCATTTAACAACAACAGCTGCAATAGCTAGAATCATAGAATCCCCACAGTGCAAAAGGAGGCCATTCAGCCCAACGAGATTGCACTGACCCTCTGAAGAGCATCCCACCCCGCTCCACTCCGCAACCCCTCCCCAGAACCCCACATGGGGTTTTTACAGTGGCTAACCCACCTAACCTACACATCCCTGGATACTACAGGGCAATTTACCATGGCCGATCCACCTAATCTGCACATCTTTGGACTGTGGGAGGAAACTGGAACAGTCGGAGCAAACCCACACAGACATGGGGAGAACGTGCAAACTTCACAAAGACAGGCTCCCAAGACTTAAATCAAACCCAGGTCCCAGTGTTGTGAGACAGCAATGCTAACCGCTGAGCCACTGTGCCAACCTCCTGTGGGTGACCACGTTGATCTAGCATCAAGGTGCACTACAGCAACTTTCAAAAGCTTCTCTGAGAATACCTTCCATACCCGTGATCTCTCTTGCCTAGAAGTGTAACTACAAAGGACCTACCTAAAACCTTTCCTGCAAGTCATACACAACCCTGAATTCATTCACTGCTGCTGGGTCAAAATCCTGGAACTTCATTCTTAATTTCGATATGCCTGTACTGACGTCAAGTGTACTGTGGTTATTAGAGAGAACAATTCAGCATCATCTTCCTAATGACAGTTAGGAATGGTCAATTAATGTGGAATGAAGTTAAAAGGATGTATCATTGATTTTGCTGTTGATTATATTAAATAACTACTGTGATTGTTATTATTTACCCATTGAGCAACTTGATTAAGACAGGAATTCAAGTCCCAATTTTAACGTACAGCGGGTTTAGGGCAGAATGAGTGAACTTTGTCAGTGTAAGACCTGGGCCATTAAAACTCCAGGGCCTCATTTTAATATTGTTTGTCCCCAAAGCTGCTTAGAATCTGCCCAGCCAGCAGATGGGAGTGGTGATTTTGGTGAGAACTGGGCACAGCCAGGGACATAAAAAAGCTCACCTATACAAAGAATGTGCTGGAGATCACTTGTAGACCTGCCATCTGATGAAGGATGTCGTCTTCTGCACCTCCCAGTTACCAGGAGTAATTTCAATGTCAGTGTTACTATGTTAGTGTAATCCTGCATCTGCACCAAAAGAGACAGCTTGTTTGTAAGCACTGCCTACCTGCATTCTGAGTTTGTGTAGTATTTCATACTAGACACTATTCCAGTTGGAGCGATGGATAATTCTTGAGCAACAGCAGAAATTAATACATTTAGTTACTTCTGTAGTTTCTGGCCATACTGCTGCCGTATATTAGGCTTCACTGAGGCTTCTGAATTCTACTACTCATTAGTTTTAACCTGATATTTGCTTGCCACATTGATGCTAGTTCAAACATGAGCTTTTTTGGCTTTTTGTGATATTGACCAACATTATTTTACTGTTTTAAAACTGTTTGATATTTATTCTTCAGATGAAATATTAAGCCATGGTCATATGGAATGGCGTGGCGGGTTTGAAGGGCTGACTGGCCATCTGTATTTTTCTATATCATTTATTTTAATTGTCTATTTTGTTTTGCTCCAATACACAACAGGATACAAAGTTCTTTCACTTTTGGATACTAGAGAAGATGTACAACCTGACAGCGCAGATTTGTACATCCACGTTACCTTCATTAAGAAGTGGGACATTTGTGCCGGTAATGCCATCCTGAAAGCTCTCGGAGGTCAGATGACAACAATTGAAGGCGACAACATTGATTACAGTGACTCTCCTTCCAATACTGGTGGACTTGTAGCAACTGTTGGGATAGATCACCATGCTTTGCTTAAACGATTACCTGATCTTAAAAATCTTGCTCCAAAAATGTAGACTTTACAGAAGCTTGAGAAAAACGGTCTCTCTGCTGTTTTGCTCATTGTGGTGAAAATCACTGTAGCCTGCTCAATATTTCATAAATAATGTTGATGGGTTTCTTCTCCATTGCCTAGGAAACCAAATCAACTCTGAGGTCTCCTAAAGCCATTTTTATTGGTCAAATGATTAAAAAATTTAATTTCAACACTGTTTCCCAAAAACATAGCATCTTGTTTAAATGACTGGCCTACACCACCTTGAGCATTCTTTTTACATACGGAATTGTTGTTTAAATGAACCTTTCACTGTGATATTTAAAATTGTAAGTCTACACTAGTAGGGTAAACTATTTACTGCTAAATGCTTGACCCTAATAGTTACATGTTCAGTGGTCATTTTCTTTAATGTATTGGAGCATGAACTCACTGTGACAGAATAATTCTCCATGTAATGAGCTTGTGTCATCTGGGTTATCTGGGCAGATGAGACATGGAGACTTGATTAAAAATCAGGTAGGGGAAATATAATTGGTAGAAGAGTGGTCAGGACTATGCCTCACACATCTTAGAGTCACCTGGTACCATCTTGGCTGGCAAAGGACATGTAGCATGCAGAGTCTTGTGGGGATGAGGTATCTATTCACCAAAGAATGGGAAAGTATCACAATATTCAACACTGGTAATTGTTGCTTGAGATACTTGAAATGTAATTTGCTGCTTTCCAAAAAAAGCATTCATGCCAGATTAAATTCTATTCCTACCTTATACATTGGCCTCTGCTGAAGAGCAATATCATGATCATAGGCAGTGCATTTTCTAGTGGCTATGTTAAATTTAAACACAATTTTCATATAGCATTCTATTATGTGAAGCTGGATATTCAGTTAAACCTGCCATGTGGTGAATGGAGCTTCCTTTAAGCTGTAACCAACTAGTTAATTTCCATGATAATTTCTTAGCTTGGTGACCTAAGGAGTGTGGATAGGAATAGCTGATGAAACTAATCAGTAAATGGTCCTCTAAGTCAAATTTAAGATTTTAAAAAATTTTTAAAAATCTTTGCTATCTAAAAGCAACCTTTGAAAATTGCAATTCTATTTTGAATCAGGTTTTCCAACATTTTTTCTTGAAGGTAAAACATAGTGAATTTTTTAAGTATGTTTTTAAAAACTGTAGTGATTAGTTAGTGCTAAAGCAAAATAGAGTAATTAAGAAGGTTAACTTCAATATCTTTTGTAGATTTTACATTTGACTTTCTATTTTGAGATCACAGAGGAACTTTCTGGATGCTGTGTATGTTTTGCAAAGCAGAGCATTATTTAAATGTTGTTTTGCTGAGTAACGTTATGGGTGACTCCATGATCCAGTGCTCCCAAAGAGCACATCTTAGAAAATCACTGGCTAACTGGTAGTGAGTTTCTATCTATTAAAATTAATTAACAGAATTACAAGCTGGGTACCTGCTATTTTCCAAGATGAACATGTGATAAATACCAGACTTCAGCACAATCCACAGAAGCACTACAAAAGCCCATGTTAACTCTGAAAGCCCAAAGAATGCCTTATTTTATTATTTGACCTTCATTCAGTCACGTTTCTTTTTTTATTATTGATTGATTGCATTCCTTTAACTGAGATTGACAACTTAGCCTAGAGTATTGCTGTGTAAAGCTAATTTAAGTCTGCATCTTTGAGATGCTGGCACAGCATAGTACAAATTCCCCTCCCATCTATTTAGTTAAGTATCAGAAACTGTCTATTTTTGGTGAATAATCAACTTTAGGGGAGTTCCATAATTGAACATTACTGAACTGGATTCATGATTCTTAAATGATTATAACAGCAGCACATTCAGCTTGTTACCTTATTTAACTTTGTATTGACGGAATTGCACTATTAAGTTTTATTTTAGAGTTTGGATTGTTTATTCGTTGTGTAAAAGTAAATATGGAAAAGTATTTGGTCCAGTCTTTGATTTTTTTTCCTTATGTATGCTGATGCAGAGGAAAAAGAATTGACAGTATTGTAGCAGTAATGTTACTCGTCTAGCAATCCAGAGACCCAGACTTCAAAGACATCAATCAAAATGCTATGCAGACATTTAAATTGGAGGAGATGGAAGAATTTACATTCAATTGGTTAATATATGGAAAATAGAGTGATGTTAATACTAATCACAAACCTCTTTGTGAGGAAAGCCTATCTGCTTCACCAATACCCTTCAGAAAGGAATTCTGCCATCTTTACCCAGACCAATAACAATGTTGTTACCTCTTAAATTACCTAACAAGACACTCATTTATATTAAAAGTCTACAAAAAAAATTAAACTAAGAACAAAATTGGATTGTTCACCAGGTATTTATCTAGGTACTGGAAATAGCAAAGGCATACCTCACCCAATCAACCCTAGCCTAGCTTTCCTTACTATCATTTGGAATATTGTGCCAAACTTTGGAGAGTTGTGCCATGGCTACTCAACAATATCTTTTCTAAGCCATACTTACTGCATCCCACTTTACAGCCAGTTCCCCATCGGCATCTCTCGATGAGTGACATTTTCCTGCCATTAGAACAGGTCAATCAGATTGGTAGTACAGTGGTAGACAGCCAGGAGAGAGTCGCCCTCGGAGTTCTCAACTTTGGCTGTAGACCCCAGGAAGTCTCATGGCATCAGGTAAAACATGGACAAAGAAAGTTCCTGCTGATTGCCACCTACATTCTTCCCTCCATGTTGTTCCGTGTTGAGCACCACTGGGAAGAAACACTGAGTAGCACTTGCACAAAATGTGGTCTGAATGGGATCTTCAAAGTCAGTCAATTGTTAACATAATTTCTGACAGAGCTGGCTGAGGTATAAAGGGCATATGTATCAGATTCAGCCTGCGGCGTACAGTTTTGGTCTCCATAAGTAAAGAAGGATAAATAAGCAAGGAAGGAAGTAGGAGGGTGGAGTGGACAGTGGGTGGGGTTTCATGGATTTGGGGAAGAAACAAAAAGGGGCAGCATGGTGGCACAGTGGTTAGCACTGCTGCCTCACAGCTCCAGGGACCCGGGTTCGATTCCACCCTCGGGCGACTGTCTGTGTGGAGTTTGCACATTCTCCCCGTGTCTACATGGGTTTTCTCTGGGTGCTCTGGTTTCCTCCCATAGTCCAAAGATGTGTAGGTTAGATGGATTAGCTGTGCTATATTGCCCAAAGTGTCTAGGGTGGAAAATATAGGCATGGTGTAAGGGGACGGTCTGGGTGGGATGCTCCTCGGAGAGTCGGTGTGGGCTCGATGGGCCAGGTGCTTCCACACTGTAGGGATTCTATGAAACTTAAATTGAAAGCAGTACGTTGAAGGTTCACTAGGTTGATCCCTGCAGATGATAGGTGTGTCCTTTGATGAGGGCTTGAGTAAATTGTTTGAAATCTAGAGAATGCACACCCAATGTGAAGTGATCTCATTGAAACATACAAAATGTCGAAAGGAGCTTGACAGGATAGATACCAAGATTGTTTCCCTTAGCTGGGGAATCTAAAACATATGGGTGTGGCTTCTGGATAAGAACATTTTGCACTAAGAAAAGAAGATTTTGTGAATCATTGGAATTCTCTCAACTGACATCTCTGGCTGTTCTATTGTTGAATATATTGAAGACAGATGACACATTTCTGGTTTCTCAGGGACTAGAGTGATATGAAGAATGGGCATGAAAGGGAATTTGAAGCTGAAGGTTAGCCATGACCATATCAACAGATGAGCAACCCCAATGGGTTTTATGGTCTATACTCCAATTTATAGAATCACAGAATGACTACTGCATAGAAGGAGACCATTGTGCATGCACTGCCTCTTTAAAGGAGTAATGTACCTGGTGCCACTTCCCTGTCTTCTTCCTGTAGCCATGTACTTTATAGCTTTCCAAATAATAATCCAATTTCCTTTTAAAAGAATTGAATCTGCCTCTACCACACTCTCGGGCAATGCATCCCATTTCTTTATGTGTGAAAACCAACAAAAGGCAGTCATCTACTTGACTTTGTCCCCATCAGTCTACCTTTTGCAGATGCATCTGTCTGTTACAGTATTGGTCGGTGACCCTGTGCATAGCTGTATGGAAATAAAGTCTCATCTTCGGACTGAGGAACTCCATGTATTGTGTGGTTCTACCACTCCACCAAACACAAGGGAAGATCATTGTTGTTGTAGTTGGAAGCCAACCATCAAAGCTGTATGACATCCCTGCAGAAGTTCCTCAAAGTAGTGTGCTAAGTCAAACTAGCTTTAGTTTCTTCATCATTGGCCTTCTTCCCATCATAAGCTCTGAAGTGGGGATTTCACTAATGATGCTCAGCTTGAGTCTTCCCGTCATAAGCTCTGAAGTGGGGATTTCACTAATGATGCTCAGCTTGAGTGCTATTCTTAGTTCCTTAGATCCTGAAACTGTGCTCACAAGCAAAAAGAACTTGGATAATACTCATATTTGGGCTGCTAAGTGGTAAGTAACATTTGGACCACCCAAGTGCTATCTCCAGCAAGAGACAATCTAACCATCTCCACTTGACATTAAACCAAAATCAACTTCTTGGAAATTACCATTACATAGAATGTATGGCACAGAAATAGATCTTTCAACCAACCCATCTATGCCAGTATTTATGCTCCATTTGAACTTCTTCCTGTCATTCATCATCTCAATCCATCGATGTAATCCTCTATTCACTTTTCCTTCATATGTGTTTAGCTTCACTTTAAATGCATGCGTACTATTGACTTCAACCATTCCCTGTGTCAGCAAATTCCACACTCACCATCCTTCGGGTAAAGAATTTTTTTTTCTTGAATTCCCAATTGGATTTCAATGTCTTATATTGATAACGTCTAATTATTCTTTATTCACAACAGAAAATATTCTGACTATATGCATTCTACCAAAATCTTACACAATGTTAAAGACCTCTAAAAGGTCATCCTTCATTTATTTCCAGGAGAAGAGGGTGCCAGGCTGTCAATCCTCACCTGACATGAACAATGCATCTATTTCTGGTACATAATTAGAAATCTTATCTACTGTACCCACTCTGTGCTCTAGATCCTCTTTTATTGTAAATAGTATGGTGATGAGAAATGCACATAGTACTTGAATCATGGTTGTAAACAAAGTTCAAAACAGGTTTCACGTAACTTCCCTAATTTTCAATTGTATCCCTCTATAAATAAAGCTTAGTTCTTGGCT